TCAAAAGTTAAGATTTGTTACCTTAAATCATTTTATAATTTGCACACATTGCTTCATACTCTTAGCATGCATAGCTAATTGGTATACCTGAAATATATGAATAACAATGTGGCTTAGAACTACAAAAGGCAAAGAAATTATGTTTATTTCTCATAAATAAATTACTAGCTGCAATGTATTATTTATGTTACACAAATTTAAACAATGTATAATACATGAGGATAAATTTACTATATTTGGAGTAAATTTAACAGAGCTGTCTCTTAGGGCTTTATTAATATTGCAAAAACAGTATTTGCTGTATAATTGATTTTTGAAAATTTTGCATATGTTTTTATAAATCTAATTTCTTAACCTAGGAAATGTTACAAAGCATGTTTTAGGTTGATAACACCGTAACAAAGGTGTGTTGTGAAGTTTGAGGTCAAGTCAAGAACCTTCTGCAACTTGGGAAGCCACACTAGCTTTGCACAAAAAGTGAATTTATTATGACTGAAAAACTTTCTCCTTAAATAAGTACATTGTTCCAAAACAAGGGAATTTGCCCCCAGTAATTTAGACTTTGGTCCTTTCTGGTTGTTAGGGGGTGGGACTCACTGCTGTGGCATCTCCTGCTGGGAGCTCTGGGAAATTAGTCCTTTCTTAGCAGGGCATTTAATTCTGGCAGCGTATCCCCCATCTGTGCTCCACACACCCAGTCTGGAATCACATCGCTCCCTGACCACAGTGTCCTCTTCAGAATACTGCCCTCCAGCAGTGCCTACCCCAATGATCTCCCATCCCCCTTCTGGGGGGAGGGTGTATCGATATTCCTTAGTTTGTACTGTCACTGTGGCCTCCAAGCTCAGCCCCTCTGTCACAGGAGCAAGCCACTATCTGTATGATCCATGCCTTGGTGGCAAGGGAAGGAGGAAGACCCAGGCCCACACACTAAGGGACCCTCTGGCAGCAGCCTTTTCTACCTGCCTCTACTCCTCTTCATTGCCTTCTATTCCCTGGGTCTTCTGTTTCCTTCCCCTGTTACTCTTTACACCCTCCTGGCCCTAGTGGCAAGGCCAGCAGACTAGCAGGTATCAGGAGCCTTCCTTTTCTACCCCCCACCCCTCCAAAGTCTGCCCTATGCTGCTTTCCCAAAGGTGCTTCTTCAGGAACCAGGTCATGCACCTTCCCTAGTCAGGGCCTAACTGTCTCTCTCTGCTGGGCAGCTCCTTATACGCAGGGCTGCCTAAGCCAGACACACCCTAATTGGCTACTAAAAAGCCTCTTCTTCAGAGGTCAGGATTTTGTGCAAGTGTAACCCACACACCTATGCTATGTCTACACTGGCGCATCTTGCGCCAGAGCTATGCAAATGAGGCTAAGCGTGGAATATCACCGAGCCTCATTTGCATATCTAATGGCCGCCATTTTTGCGGAAGATTATTTTTAGGCATAATGGCATTGCACAAGAAGGTTTTTCTTGCGCAAGAAGGGGCAGTGTAGACAGCTCCTTCTTGCGCAAGAGCCTCTTACGCAAAATGGTGGCTCATTAGATATGCAAATGAGGCTCAGCGATATTTCACGCTTAGCCTCATTTGCATAGCTCTGGTGCAAGATCGCGCCAGTGTAGACATAGCCCTAGAGTGGTTCACTGACCTATGTAGTGGTACTTAGACGGCTTTCTCAAGTTACAGATAGTCAGAAAATGGTAAGGATTTTTCCTGATAAATCTTGAAAGATGCACAATAATCCAAAATGTGTTAAATTATTTTCTTCTAGAATTTCAAGTGAATTTGTAAACATACATGAATATAAAAATAATTTGATTTTCAACTTTTTCCCAGGTTTCAAGTTTTTACTTTTTTATTAAATCATGCTAAAATTTTTCATAGAAATGCTGGTTTTGAAGAGTAAAGTTTAAACCAGAAAATTTCAACTACTTCTCTTTGCTATCATCATTTCTGTACCCTTCTACTATTCTGTGAATGGAATAGAAGATATCTATTAAATCTTCATCTGTAGTATTATATGTTTGAGCAAAGCCTGAATGATTATCTTTTGAAAATGAGAATAGTCGTTCTTTTTTATTTCTCCTCCATGCATGAGATATTAGCTATTTATAGCTTGATTCTTAGGCTATGTCTACACTGCAACACTATTTTGGGGCACTGAAGTATCCTGAAATAACTATCCCATGTCTTAACAGCAAGCCCATTATTTTGGGTTCACTATTCCGACGTCCCTGTAAACTTCATTCCACAAGGAGTAAGGGACATTTCAGAATAGTAGGTATTCCAGAATTTGGCACTGTCTAGACTGTACCATATTATAAAATAAGCTATTTCAAAATAAGATCGAAATAATGCAGGCAATTTGCGTAGCTCAAATCACATATCTTATTTTGAGCTACAGTGCAGTGTAGACACACCCTTATATAGCTTACATCACATTCTATGCTACATGATTATCACATTTATAACTCATTATATCAGGATGATTAAAAAGTACACTTCTCAAAATTAACTAATGTAAAATTTATATTGTGGACTTTTTTGGAAGGAAGGCAGGTTTCCACTGCAAAAGTGGAAGATAGTATTTCAGTCATCATACTTGCCAACAAGGGTGTGTTTACACAGCACCCTAAATTCAAAATGAGATACGTAATTAGTGCTATCCATATTGCATATCTTATTTTGATTGCTTTTTGAAATAGCTTATTTCAAAATTTGTCATATCTATACAGCACCAGATTTTGAAATAACATGCTATTTCGACACATCCCTTAACCCTGGTGGAACAAGGGTTGCAGAGATGGTGAAATAGCATGCCCGTTATTTGAAAAAATATTTTGAAATAACAGGTCTGTTTAAAAGACGCAGGGTAGCTATTTCAGGATACCTCCTGTATCCCAAAATAGCCACGGGCTACGTCTACACTGGCCCCTTTTCCGGAAGGGGCATGTAAATTTCATGAGTCGTAGTAGGGAAATGCGCGGGGGATTTAAGTATCCCCCGCGGCATTTAAATAAAAATGTCCGCCGCTTTTTTCCAGCTTTTAAAAAAGCCGGAAAAAAGCGGCGGACATTTTTGAAGTAGGAATAAGAGCCTCCGGAAAAGGGCGCTTTTTCCGGAGGATCGGGGCCAGTGTAGATGCTCTTTTCCGGCTTTTTTAAAAGCCGGAAAAAAGCGGCGGACATTTTTATTTAAATGCCGCGGGGGATATTTAAATCCCCCGTGGATTTCCCTACTACGACTCATGAAATTTACATGCCCCTTCCGGAAAAGGGGCCAGTGTAGACGTAGCCACGTTGTCTAGATGTACCTTAAGTGTTCTTTATCCTTTGTTCTATAAAAACTATAAATACTAGAGTTTTAAAAAGTGAATGAGGCATCGTACGGACAGAAGATCTTTACAGAACAATGGAGTCGTAAAATAGTAGGTGCTACTTGTGGTGCTTTGAAAACTGTTAAAATTGCAGTCTGTAGCTCTGAGGTTGCGTTGTCCCTTGGTGCTGTACAGATGATTCCCAGCTCACATGGAAATACTTGTTGTGCTAGCCTTCATTGAGCTAGCATGCTAAAAAGAGTGTTATATGGGCAAGGTGAACAGCCATACAGGCTACTGTCCTCAAGTGCATATCCATGGGATGCAGGTGGGTTTGTACTCAGGTCAGCTAGCCTGTGCTGCCATTTGCTTCTGCCTGTGCTACTGTGACTGCATTGCTGTTTTTAGAGCATTAGTTATGAAAGCTATGTGAGTATGTCTATGCAAAGTGGGAATCACCTGCCTTACAGTCTGGTTGAAAGGGGGCTCTATAAGGAATCACACAATCTGGGTCCTGTTTAGTCAGTCTTCAGACAGACTAGTAAGGCAGGATGAGTTGTGTTTTACAGTTTGAGGAGGAGCCTGATTTGTCACTCTCTCTGTTTGGGTTCTGGCATGTTAGTGTTATGAATGATAAGAAATAGTAGAGTCAAGGTGTATCCTTCCAGTAAGCATATTTTATGAGGGGAAGATTGTTTGGTTTTTATTTATCTAGTGTGTGTATATACTACAAAACTCAACCACACCACTGGGACCTGGTTTGACAGTGCTACAGGATTAGTTCTGGTACAGCTTGAAGCTTCTGGGTTCTCCATTATCTAAATATTAATTAAAGTGGAGTTGGAAAAATTTTCCCCTCAAATTTCAGCTGCAGAGAAATCTAGTGCAAAAGCAAGGGCATTTTGTTCATATAATTATCTTGTTTAGTTGTCAAGGCTGATTGTTTTTAATTGAGAATGTTAATGAGAGCTTTGGAAAAATCTCATTTTGATAACTGAATTCTGCACCAATAGGCCTCCATGGTAAAACTCCAGTGTATTTCAGTGGGGGCAGATTTAAGTTGTCACAAACTTTGTTTGTTTGCTTTTTAAATCTCACTCTTGTTATGTTAAGTATAAAATACTAGATTCTTCATGGATAGCCCTATGAAACAAAGATACTTTGACCTGTTTTGTAATAACTGGTTCTATGTCAGTTTGGTAAAAATATTGGTTTTAGAGATATTTAGCTTGTGATTTTTTTCAATGATTAAATTATATTCCTCCTACTTCAGTTACTTCCCAGGTTCAATAAGGTTCTGCATTGCAGCAAGAATGGCAGTGACCACAAGAGTTATAATTGCATAACAGTTTATTTTTCTAAACTTTTTCCCCGGTTTCTCATAACTTTCTGAAAGACTTACTTATGAGGCAATCTCTACCTAAAATTGTTATTGTTTCCATAATTTGAGGAAATACAGTTCAGCTGTTTCTGAATGTAAAGAGTGACTAAAATATAGTGCTAAAATATAGTTCTATAAAGAAATTCACCTTTCAGCAGAGCCCAATTTTTTTTAAAAAAACCCACACTTTCCATTCAGGGATTTTGTTCTTCGTATAGTTTGCTTTTTCTGTTGTAAAATTTCACTTATGTTCATGGCAAAGTATAAATGATCAATAATCACAGCTCACTGTCTCACCTTCCACTTTATCTTAAAGATGCCACATACATCTAAGCCACTAGATCATTACCAAGAAAGAAAAGAGCCACCTGCTGAAACATCAATGCTAGTTCCTGTAGCACAATGGGCTTTCCTTGGAGGTCTCCCATCCGAGTACTGACAAAGCTTGACTCTGCCAGGCTTGAAAAATGTGACGAAATTACAACCCAAGGCAGAGAGACTGCAGGAAACATACTTGCTCATTCCACTTGTTTTGCCTAATAAAGAATGCCTTGAGAAAGCTCACTCAATCGTTCTTCTTTCTAATGAAAATCTGGTGTTCTCCATTGTATTTTGAAGAATGTGCTCCATATAGTAAAGCCCAAAGGTCCAAAATGCAGATAGAAGCAGCACTTGCAATAGATTATATTATTATCTATTATTTGTCACTAAGCTCTGAATTTAAAGCTTTTCTCCTTCTTCTTCCCACCTCCTCTCCCTGCAGGAAGCTTGAAATTTGAAAAATCAATAAAGAAGAATTGAGAGAATAAATTGTTATTATTTACTGAGTTTTTTACTATAACTTCTTTAGTTAAGTCTCTGACTGTGTTTCTATTACAAATCCTACTTTTAGCAAGTTAATATAGCTGGGTTTTTTTACATAAAATATCTTTGCCTAGAAGTAAGTTATATTATTTACATTGTGCATTTTGGGCATTTTTGCAGGATATGGAGCAAAGTTTTGAAGATATGTAACTCATGTCTGCTTTGTGTGGCATTCTATCTGCCCCTAGTAGCCTAAGCCAACTAAATTTTGATGAGGCTGCTACAGTCTTGGGTTACGGTCATGTGAGAAAGGTTCACACATTTAGCTTGAAAGAGGTCAACTTTGATCCTCCTTGTTGACAGGTGGAGTTTGTTAGTGAAATAAGTGCTGTTTTGTTGAACAGCCATTTGAAAAGTTATTCTGCCCCTAAAACTTTCTGACTTTCAATCTATATTATAAACTTGTGACTTTAGAGACTTAAAAAGAGGTCCCAAGATGTGATCTATGATGTCAATGTCTATATTAAGGAATCCCATGTAACCATATACTCTTTTGTACTCCTTGTTGCAGTATTCCACTGAATATGGATTAAGGCCTCTGGACCACTTTTTCAAAAGGGGGCTCCTAAATTTAATCAGCTAAGACTGGAATTTCCAAAGGGTTCATGGGAAGATAATTGCTTAACATGATTTTGTTAACATAAAATCTGGATTTTAATGCAATAGGTTTTTTTTAAATGAAATAATTTCACAGTCAGTTCTAATTAAAACTTAGGCATTCTGCATCCACTCATTTATATTCCATGTCTTGGTAAAAGTTTGATATCAGAAGCTTGTAATTACAATTCTCTACATTAATTATAAAAGACACTGTCAGAATTGTCCCTTTCCAATTACAATAATCCTGCAATTATTAGGCATAATAGCTTGCAGTAATGGATAAATGAAAAACATGTTATCTGAATTTCCTGGCAGTTGATGGGTTAAAACTAGTGGTTTATTTTATTTTATTTTAGAGTTCAATATTTTAAGCAGCCTGAAAGCTTTAATGGGTGGACTTATTAAAACCTCTATTGTCTACTAGGGAATGATTAAAGGCCAGTGATTTCTTGCACTTCCTCCAGTTATCTCAGATGTCACAGTGATTGATGGTAAAGCAGCCATTCTTCTGTAATGTTTCAGACTTTGTTGCTTGCCTTGAAGCAGATAATGTAGCTGCAGCAAAATGTGAAATGGCAGATAAATAATTTCTCTTGTTCCCTCTACTCAGTTGCAACTGGAGTATCCAGTGTACACTTGTTCATCTATCTTGATATTGTTGTTTGATAACATTAAGGTAGCATGACACCAGAGATGTGCAAAACAACACAAACTTTTCAGATACTGTAAAAAAGAGACTAACTTTCTCTCAGTGTATAAAGTTAATTTGTTAACTGAATAGTAAAGCAATCTGCTCCCTAATCAGTTTTCTGTCAACCATGTATGCAAAAAAGACCCAGGATCAATTTGCTATTTGTTTTCTGTGCTTTCTGAAATGGACTGCTGCATCCTGGCCTATCTAGTATATGTCTTGTAATAACCTGTATTTTTCCTTAGTCTGAGGGACTAGTAACCATTAAATCTTGTTACACAACAGGTACAGCAGAAACCAAATCCTGCATCTCAAGCTTGGAAGCCTGTAGTTAAGCACCTACATAAAAATGACTTGATTTCCAGAGATGCTGAGTGCCTTAGTTCTTTCAGCACCTCCTCTACCTAAATGTGGACTGGGTGTGTAACTATAGATACCCAAATTTGAAACTGTTGATTTTAATGCTAAGGTCCACTCTGGGGAGCAGGGAATCTCATCTTCCTCATGATAAATAGTTCTGGGCTTTGTAAGATATCAGACTTTAAAACCACATTATTGAGACTTTCCCCTTTCTGTTCATTTTATTTCAGCTTACTTCTGTGGCTGCCATCTCAAGGATTACTAGAAATATAACTGACCTTAAATACTGTCTGAGAGCTGGTAAACCCACCTTTCAAATGGCATCAAACCATAAATATTTTGGTCTAAGTGTTAATGAGTGTATTGGTGAAACTGAACTGGGATGAAAGGGCAAAATGGTAATCAGAATGATCCGTCTCGTTGTTTAGTTACTGGTATGGCACCCCACCACCAGAATGTCTGAGAGAGAAGCTGAGATTGGCAGATACAGAGTCCCTCAAGTCAGCAGATGAAAATTCGTTGATGCAGCTCAGGGATAAATGTACAAATATGGGAGTGAACCAACTTTGTGTTTCTGTGATTGTGGGGCATCAAGGCTGTTTTAACTTCCCCCAACTACCAGTAATCCAGATAGCCATTATGACAGCTAGCTATTTCTGTGCATAGCAGTGTTTCACTTTCATGCAGCTTAAACACTTTTTGCTATAAGTGTAAGCAGGGGCTGAACTTCTGCTTGCTATCAGCCAGCTAAAAGGAGGGGTGGGTGTGCCCAATACAATTGTTTAGCTTTGCAAGAAAATTAACTGTTAACTGTTGATATGTAAATACAGCTCAGGAGAGAATACAAGGTGTGGCTACGTAAATCCCATTCAGCCAGGGCTGATGGAGGGTCAGTGTTGGAATGGAATGTGGAGAATTGTAAATAATTTGGGACTGTTGTGGGGGTCACTAATCATGCTACCCCTAAATGTGGGAACTGTAAAACATGCCACCAGTGCCTCCAGGAGAGACACCACCATCGTGGTAAGAGATCTCAGAGGAACAAGCCTCCCCCCTTCCAGAGTTGAGTGAACAGAGCTGGGGGGAAGAGTTAAAAGGTTTGAGTCAGCCTGCTTCACACCTGCCAGCCGTGAGCTGTAAGACTGGCCCAACCTGCCCTTTCCTCCTCCTCCCCCCTTTGTTTTAAGGACAGACCTAAAGCAGACTCCCTGAGGAGTCTTTTCTTTTGCTAGTCTAGTGGAAGCTGGATTCCTATGCCAGTCCAGTTGGTGGCTAAAGAGTTGAAATGGTTGAGAGCTAAAATCACTGGTTTGGCTGAGAGTGAGACCCATTGCAACCAGTGAAGCGGTGGCGGCCAGCAGAGTGGCTGGTGGGAATCATTGGCTGGGGGTGTAATGTGGCTGGTAGGAGCAGCGGCGTGGCGTGGAGCGGCGGCAGGCAAGGAGCGGCAACCAGTGGCGTTTCGCGGAGTGGAAGCAGGCGACCAGCAGAGCATCCAGTGGCATGGGACGAGACAGTTGGTGGAGCATGGCGGAGTGTCGTAAGGTGCCTCCTATCTATCCCCCCACCCCCATTTCTACCCAGGTTGGGAGGTGAAACCCTGCGGGTGAACTTTGGGACTCTGGGTGGCACGGACCAAGGACAGAGACTTTTGGGGTGTCGGACTCTTTGGACTTCAGGTGATTTTTGGCTGGGGTGGAGGGTTTAGCTCATGTTTGTGTTAATAACTCTGTTTGTGGTGTTTTCCCCAAGTTAATGCCCTATGACTTCTCTCTCTGTATCATTAAATGTTTCTTTCCTACACTCAGAAGTGGGGAAGCATTACCTCTTCGAGGCATCCAGGGATGTGTGAATTTCCCAGATTACTGGGTGCGGGCTCGAGCCGGTTCTATGTGTGAGATGGACCCCAAGACATTGAACCCAGCCCTGGTTACTTCCAGGCAGAAGGGTTACATAAGTAATATGGGGATTCCCTCCTCGGTACAGTTTCCCCCTGTTGCCAGGAGAATTGACATAAAAGAGAGGCTGTTGAATGTGGAGGATGGTTTCAGAAGACATCTAATGAAGCCTCTGAGCATGGACCAGTAAGCATATCATTCCACTAAGTAAGCAAATTATCTTATTGAAATTTTTTTCTCCCCTTTTGTACAGCATTTCATAATATATGGAAACAGCAGGACCCCTGGTAACTAGCACTGCACCTTGTCAAAGGTTCTGTTAACAGAATCCTCCCCTTCACTTCTCCTCTCTTGTCCTGAAAGCCTTCATTCTGTGTCAGTGTCATGACACAAAATAACTTACATGTCAGGAAAAATTCTCCTTGTGAAGCTGAGAGACCATTATGTCAAGCAAAATATGAAATGACAATGCTCGGATATTTCCCATCGCAGCTGGAATATTAAGAAAGGAATGCATATTGGGTGTCGGGGCATAGCTATGCTGTCCTGCAGTTCAGACTAAGCAAATGTGAATAGCAGTGTGCAACAAAGTGCTGCTATGCTGTAGCTCTCACATGTGCAAGCTGTGAGTGTAAACTATAAAGATAGTTGTGTTAGTATGGGCTCAGAACCTTATAGTTTATGCCCCCAGTTTCTATATGATTGGGATAATGTTCTCTGGAAATAGAAACCAAACAACTGGCTCCCTTTTGCCAAAGACTGAAAATAATTCATCTTTTTAGGACTTCCAGGTCTCTTCCTGCCTTCTGGCCTGAGCTGTTAGCAAACATTCAGGCCCATGTCCTTTTTCCCCAGTAAGGAGCAGGAATTGATTAAATGCATTTTGTTGTTGTGAACCTGTTTTATTGAAAAAACATTAGACACAAATTTCTATTTCCCTGAACACCATGGCTGTATCTAGACTGGCCAGTTTTTCCGGAAAATCAGCTGCTTTTCCGGAAAAACTTGCCAGTTGTCTACACTGGCCGCTTGAATTTCCACAAAAGCACTGACTTCCAACTGTAAGAATTCAGTGCTTTTTGCGGAAATACTATGCTGCTCCCGTTCGGGCAAAAGTCCCTTTTGCGCAAAACTTTTGTTCAAAAGGGCCAGTGTAGACAGCTGAGAATTGTTTTGCACAAAAAAGCCCCGATCGCGAAAATGGCGATTGGGGCTTTTTTGCACAAAAGCGCGTCTAGATTGGCCATGGACACTTTTCTGCAAAAAGTGCTTTTGCAGAAAAGCATCCATGCCAATCTAGATGCTCTTTTCCGAAAATGATTTTAACGGAAAACTTTTCCGTTAAAAGCATTTCCGGAAAATCATGCCAGTATAGACGTAGCCCATAGGAACAAACAACAGGAAACAATTTCCTTAATCACGGTTTCCATGTGTGTTGTCCCAAGTAGTGCTCTTTTCTTTTTCTTTACCTCCTCCCCTGGCTCCTAAATAGCTTCCCTTTCCATACAAAGGCATCTGTGTAGACAGGACAAATTTCAGAAAAGTCTCTTTTGGAAGTAAATCGGAAAAAGATACGCAATTTGCGTACCACAAATTGTGTTTCTTTTTCTGATTTATCTTTGTAGTGTAGAGTAATCTACCTGAGAATATTCTACATTACAGTAAACACTCAACACTCAACAGCTCTAGTGCTCCTATTTATCATATACACACAAAGGCAGCCATTTAGAATTTCCTACATTATGGCTATCAGGAAGTCAATTCCTAGGGAACATGCTATATCTTCCATTAGCAAAGTAAAGCTCAAATGGATGTCTCACTGGACCTCTTGACCTAAGAACAAGCTTTTATCTCAGTGAATTAAATTATTTAGTGGGAATCCATTTAATTATTCTCCTATTTTCCAGCAGTAAGGAAAAACACATTCTTTGGGCTGGTGGGAACAGAAGCAAGAAGACATAATGATGGAACAAGTGCCTGGGATTCTGTTCCCTCACACAAAATATGAATGATCTTGAGTACTTAAATACAGATTGAAAATTGCATCTGTTGTGCAGGAGCACATGCAGTTTGATATACAGGCAGTCCCCGGGTTACATGGATCCGACTTACATCAGATCCCTACTTACAAACGGGGTGAGGTAACCCTGCACTAGCTGCTTCCCCCCAGCAGACCAGGGAGACGCAGAGCGGCTTTTCTCAGCAGACACCTCACCTTGAGAATAAAGGACTGAGGGAAGTGAGGTGTGGGAGAATAAAACTGAGCTCCGGAGAAATGTTTGGCTAGAGTTTCCCCTACAATATGTACCAGTTCCGACTTACATACAAATTCAACTTAAGAACAAACCTACAGTCCCTATCTTGTACATAACCTGGGGACTGCCTGTATAATATTATAGCAAAGCTTTAATTTTTTCCAAACATTTACAGGACTGGATCTGAATTAAAATAAAATTGAGAGGATATTTGGGATATAACAGTATCTCCCTATTAAAGTCACATCAGGTCAGTCCTCTCCCTCTGTAACTGAAAAGCCTCATCATCCAGTTGTTTTCTTATATATGAGATATAAACAATTACACTGTCTCAAAAACGAACATATAATATCTGGGAAGGCTAGTCTGCTGAGAGCACAAAAGACCCCATGTAGAAAGATCCTACTATCTGTCCCCTTAACAGAAGCTAACATGCTGGAGAACATCTTGTAATTTTTGGATTCAATCCATTATTAAGCAGAAATGAGGGGACTGCTATACAAAAATGTGCAAATGCCAAATTGATACATATATTAATGAATTTGTGGCCATCTGGACTCAATATGGAACCTAAATGTGACCATTTATCAAATTATAATTTCCATACATATATCATTTCACATCAGGATTTCAATGTTGATTAAAACAGAACTGTTTTGAATTAATCAGTGAGTTTAGACAGACTCACGGTTAGATATCACATGTTCTTCTCAGATTCAGAAGCAATTCCCATATATTAGGGCTGTGTCTAGACTGGCCAGTTTTTATCTGGAAAATCAGCCGCTTTTCCGGAAAAACTTGCCAGCTGTCTACACTGGCCACTTGAATTTCCGCAAAAGCACCGACTTCCTACTGTAAGAAATCAGTGCTTCTTGTGAAAATACCATTCTGCTCCCGTTCAGGCAAAAGTCCCTTTTGCGCAAAGCTTTTGCTCAAAAGGGCCAGTGTAGACAGCTCAGATTTGTTTTGCACAAAAAAGCCCCCATCGTGAAAATGGCAATCATGCCTTTTTTGCGGAAAAGCGCATCTAGATTAGCATAGACGCTTTTCCACAAAAAGTGCTTTTGCAGAAAAGCATCTGTGCCAATCTGGACACTCTGTTCCGAAAATGCTTTTAACGGAAAACATTTCCGTTAAAAGCATTTCTGGAAAATCATGCCAATCTAGAAGCAGCCCAGATCTATGTGGAAGCTAAGATCCTGATTCTAGAAAGACTCATGCATATGCTTTACTTGGATCCTTTGAGTAGTCCCAATGAACTCAATGGGACCACTTATGTGATTAGAAGTTAAGCATATGTATATGTTTCTGTAGGATCTGGGCCAAAAAACCAATATTTTAGTATAGGACATTATGTTCTGATCCAGTGATATATTTTATGCATGATTCATTAAATAAATTTACATATATGCTTATGTTTTCCAATGAATCAGAGACTATAGTCCCATTGTAGTTAAAATATGTTCCTAATATATTAACAGGGGTGCATTCTAAAGTCCTTACCAAGCTAAATCTACCCTTGACGAGAGAGGATGGAAGATAGTACAACCTATTTTACAAAGTACCTGAACCCAAACTGAGTTTCCACAGACTTTAATGTGAAGTCTGCATATAGAAGGTTTGCAGGATCATGACCATAAGTAAGAGTTTAAATGCCAATGTGTAGATTAAATATAGAAGAAAAAATAGCTCCAGTTTATAAATTCTAGTAGGGAACAATGTAGTGTAAAAGAAGCAGAGTCTTTGGTTACAACTGAACCTTGAGTAGGCAGGAGGGCTTACCTAATCAGCAGGTGAACAAAGACTGTGAACTAGCAGCACTGAAGTCAGAAAACAGAGCTGAAAATAGGAGATTCATTGAAAGTCTATAAGCTGAGGGAAGGTATACGTGTGTGTAACAGGGCTTCTGCTCAGCACTGGCCTTTTACGAGGTTAAAACCCAGCCCAGGAGAGGGCAGGAGTGGTGGAGCTGTGGAGCCAGCAGCTGTGGCAGGTGTTAGTTAACTAGGACCCAGCTGAGGGCAATATAAATAAAGGCTCCTGGAGAAGAGACAGACTCACTCTTGCTCTAGGGCTACGTCTAAACTGGCATAAATTTCTGAAAATGCTTTTAACGGAAAAGTTTACACAGCCTAGCTGTAGAGCAGGATGGACTTAGCTGTCAGGAAAAGCAGGGATGTGGAAAAGTAAGCAGAACTGGGGGAGCTCTTGCCAGGCAAGCTTTCAGACTGCAGAGCCTGAAGCAAGGCCTCAGAGTCCTAGGGCTGTAGCAAGGCAGCCAAGGTAGGCACAGGCAGCAGGTTGCCGATGATGAGTGGCCATTTCAGACTGCAGTTTGCCCTTGAGATAAAGAGCTAGGTGAAGACTGGGTGGCTGTGTCGAGACTGGCAAGTTTTTCCGCAAAATCATCTGATTTGCGGAAAAACTTGCCAGCTGTCTACACTGGCCGCTTGAATTTCCGGAAATACACTAACGATCTCATGTAAGATCGTCAGTGCTTTTCCGGAAATACTATGCTGCTCCCATTTGGGCAAAAGTCTTTTTCCGATAGACTTTTGCGCAAAAGGGCCAGTGTAAACAGCACAGTAGTGTTTTCCGCAAAAAAGCCCCGATTGTGAAAATGGCGATCGGGGCTTTTTTGCGGACACCGTGTCTAGATTGGCCACAGACGCTTTTCCACAAAAAGTGCTTTTGCGGAAAAGCATCCTGCCAATCTAGACGTGCTTTTCCGAAAGGCTACGTCTACACTGGCATGATTTTCCGAAAATGCTTTTAACGGAAAAGTTTTCCGTTAAAAGCATTTTCGGAAAATCATGCCAGTGTAGACGTAGCCGCAGTGTATCACTGAGGCAAGGTGGGCCTAGGGGGTTGTGGGATCACAGAGGGAGAGGACCCCAGAGTGTGGGGGCACTGTGGCAGGGAAGGGCCCAGAGGGGAGGATGCCACAGTTTAGGAAGGATGTGGGATGTAACACAAAGTAATGTAGACATTACAGAAGGTGAGACACTGGCCAAAAAGGGGCACTCCAGCACTAAAGAGCTAATTTCCATAGTGATGGGCTGGAGGTGTTGTGATGGTGAGTCCTGTTATAGTGTGGTGTTTAGGTGGTTTTTATTTTTTGTTTTGTTTTGTATTTTTCATTCTTGACGAGAGTTTAGGAGGAAAGGCTATGAAAGCTATAAAGGCATCACTGGCGTTGACGTGAAGAATCAAAGAGACAATGGACACTGGATGTGGAGGCTACAAGGTATATATCATCTAGAGTGGACCCTTGAAATGTACTTTTAGGTGGCACTTCATACATACATCTGATGGAAGAGAAGCTCTGAGGGTTGGAGATGTAACCGGATACAATAGTTAAGCTTCCAAGGGAATTTGAATGAATGATGAAAGGAAGGACTGAAAGGAAACCTCAGGATGCATGCTGGACCAGAGAACTGTGAAGATAGATTGCTGGATGAGGAAAATAGCTCTTGGAAGCATGTGACTGAGAACAAGGAAAAGGAAAAGGATGGCGAGTGAAGGAGAAATAGTGCTGAGGAACAAGTCTATGCTGCACTGCTATTTCAAGATAACAAGCGTTATTTTGAAATAATGTGAGCATCTACTTAGCCATTCTGTTATTTTGAAATAACGGGTTGCTTATTCTGAAATCTGTAAAACTCATTTTACAAGGAATAACACCTATTCCAAAATAGCTATTTCGAAATAAGGTGTGTGTAGACGCTCCACTGCTGCTATTTCAAAAGTTATTCCTCCCCAGTGCCATGGGGCTCTAAGGCTATGTCTAAACTATACCCCTCTGTCGGAAGTGGAATGTAAATTAGACGTATTGAAAGTGCAAAAGAAGCTGTGCTTCATTTGCATAATGGCGGCTGCCGCTTTTTTCAAAATGGGGCTTTTTGAAAAAAAAAAGCAGTTTAGATGGGGCATTTTTGACAAATGCCCCATTTTGAAAGATCCTGTACTCATTTTTTACAGTGTAGATATCCACTTTCATGTGGGAAGAAATAATACTGCTAGCTTCTGACTGGGATGTGGAAAATGCTTAACAAAATGGAGGCTCAGGTGATCTTCAATGGGATTCTGCCTATCCCTAGAGCAGGAGAATGTAAATGAAACAAGATCATGATGATCTATAGATAGATCAGGCAATGGTACTATAAGATGGGCTTTTAGATATTTGGACATTAGGAATAATTCAATGACAAAGGACTGTTCTCCTGGGTTAGACTTCATTTTTGTGTAATGACAGTCAACATCTTTTGGTATGAAATTTTTATAGCCATTTATCTTTGTGTCAAGTTAGACAAAGATGTCTACCATTAAAGAAGTGAAGTTTTGAATCAGGTATGCAAGGAGAGTAGTGGGGGCAAAACACCTAACTTGTTTTAAGACTAAACTTCATAATTTTATGGAGGTGGAAGGGATGATATGAAGTTGCCTAAAGTGGTGGATGGTATGGCTGTGAACGTTATTTGGCAAATATCCCTAGTAGCCAGAGATGATACATTAGAAGGAAAAGGATTTGAGTTACACAGAGAATCCTTTCACAGGGATCTTGCCCACATGTGCATAGTCCTAACTGATCACTATATTTGGTATTGGGGAAAATAATTTCCCCCTGGTCGGAAAGGCAGAGACCTTGAGGATTGGCGGAGTGTGTGTGTTTTTTTGTCTTTTGTGGGGGGTTTTGCCTTCCATGCAGCATTAGGCAAAGGTCACTTGTTGGTTTGAATTAAAGTAAGTGGAGGTTTCTTTAAATGAAGAGTTGAGGATTTCAGTACCTCAGCCGGAAGTTATGAGTCTATTACTGGAGCGGGGTGTGTGGCCAGCAATGAGTATGAGATCAGACTATCTAATCAAGATGGTCCTTTCTGGACATAAAATCTATGAGTCTAGGAGTCTAAGGTCCATTAATGAGGACTGATTTTGTTTTTTAAATTGTTATAGGCAGCCAAGATTTTAACCATCATCAAGCATGAAAAAATAAGAGTGATCAAGGTGTAAGAGCAATCTACAATGTATATAGACCAATTTAAAGGACAGAAAATAGGGACATCGAATTAGGACTAGCTATAAATCAAAAGAAGTATAATAATTAACACCATTTCTTAAAATAGATTTTTTTATGCAAACGATAACAGAGCTAAGGAATTATTTCTTATCCAGGAAATGACTTAAAAGTATCAAAAACATAAATATTATTCCAAAACACAAGTTACTGGGCTCAGTACAGGAATAACTGGGATGCTTCAGGCCTTAAACCATATGAATCTATAGCACAACTGCTGTGTAAATTACACTCAAAGGCTACATCTAGACTGGCATGATTTTCGGAAATGCTTTTAACAGAAAAGTTTTCCATTAAAAGCATTTTTGGAACAGAGCGTCTAGATTGGCACAGATGCTTTTCCTCAAAAGCACTTTTTGCGGAAAAGCGTCCGTGGCCAATCTAGATGTGCTTTTCCGCAAAAAAAGCCCCAATCGCCATTTTCGCGATCGGGGCTTTTTTGCGGAAAACAAATCTCTGCTGTTTACACTGGCCCTTTTGCGCAAAAGTTTTTCAGAAAAAGACTTTTGCCCAAACGGGAGCAGCGTAATATTTCCGCAAAAGCACTGACAATCTTACATGAGATCATCAGTGCTTTTGCAGAAATTCAAGCGGCCAGTGTAGACAGCTGGCAAGTTTTTCTGGAAAAGCAGCTGATTTTCCGGAAAAAGTGGCCAGTCTAGACACAGCCTAGAAGATTTGAATCAGAATTTTGGACAAAGCTGGAATTTTCTACAGTAATGAAAATTTGTTCTGTTAGTGTGACGGTAGTCTCAGAGGAGCCAACTCCATTAGGGCCAGACTGAGTATACTAAATATACTCAAAACAACTTTTATATTATGTCAACTGTTATCCAAAAGCCAGCAGCATAAATTCCTCAAAGCAAATTCCTCCAGCCTCAGGCCTCTACCCAGACAGCAAGTCAAACAAAGTTCTACCAAATCCTAAAGAATCAGACACATTAAATCCCAGGTTAATGAATACTTCAGATCTCATTCTAAATGCATGCTGCTAGCCCATTCTATCAACTAAACTAAAATTTACTACAGAAAAGAGAGTATTCATTAAAAGATCAATATGCATGAGTACAGTTCTGAAACTAGATTCACAGTAGAGATGGTGAGCTTTGTAGATGAAGAGTTCTTTTAAAATTAGTTCATAGGTTATAATTCAGTGTTCAACATCATATATGGAGTGTTCCAATTTAGGAATGGGATCTCAATCCTTATGGTTTAGGCTTCTCCTGCATCAAATCTTAAGCGGATTTGAAATAAAAAGGATCAAGTCCCAAAATTCTTTTTTATAGTTTTCTAGGAATGTCTTGAACCTGAATCCTAGGTAAACAATAGACTTGAGGTAACCCACTATTTCCCAAACATCATGATAATCAACTACCTGAACTAGGATAAGATAATTAATTTATCCTTTAAGCACTTTATCACAAACTTTAAAGTGACATATATACAATGAAATTTTCACCCAAGATTCAGCTAAATGTTAATACTCCCTTTAGCACTTTAACTCAATAACAATGATGACAGCTTACAGTTTACTTGGTGTTTATAGTTTACACCGTTAGCATCTATAGGTATACAAACACAAAATTATTTCAAAAGTTTCAGAGGGGTAGCCATGATAATCTATAAGAATATGTCTACACTACAGAGTTTTGTCAGAAAAATGGCCATTTTTCCAACAACCTGAGTTATGTCAACACTGCAATCACGTTCTTCCAAAAGTAAATCGAAAGAACAGAGGGTTTTTTCAAGTGTTGGTAATCTTTCTATGAAGAAGAAGTCTTTTTCTGGAAGAGCTCTTTTGGAAAAAGGCATGTGTGGATGGGGAAGAGGGAGTTCTTTTGAAAGAAAAGGAAAGAGGTAAAAAGCAAGGTGCCCTGGTGGTCACTTCATCCACAGTAATCACAGCTTAAATGCGAGATAGCATCCGCACTGAATGGACTCTATATTTCAATAAAGCGGATCACTTTTTTGATGCGCTTTTGTGTGTGGACACAATCTTTCGGAAATTTTTTTTTGAAGATCTCTTCCAAAAAAAAGATTATTCTGAAAGAAGCCTGTAGTCTAGACATAACCTAATTAAAAAAAAAATAGTCCTGCAACACCTTAGAGACTAACAAAAATGTGGATGGTATCATGAGCTTTCATGTCCACAATCCACTTCTTCAGATGAATAGCGTTTAAGAAGTCCAAGTTCCAAATAAATAGCAGTGAAAGAGGATGGGAAGTGAAAGGAAAAGAGGAGGTGGAAATGGAAAAAGTATAATCGATTAGGCTGCGTCTTTCGCCATCCCTGTAAACCTCGTTCTAAGAGGCATAAGTGATGTGTTGAAAGAGTACTTTTTTCTGAAATTTGGCATCGTGTAGATGCACCAAATTTCAGAAAAGCCTCTTTTGAAAGTAGATCAGAAAGATACGCAATTTGTGTACTGCAAATTGCACATCTTTTTCCGATTTAACATTGAAGTCTAGACGTAGCCTTAGAGTTTCCATGATAAATGAAGCTGATACTTCTAACAACATAGGTTTGCATTTCAAAGTTCTATCCTTACATTAAATTACCCTAATTATCTTTTATATACTTCTCTTATATGTTCCATCAGATTGACTCTGCAGATGCCTACCCCTTTCTGTCCATGTGCCATACTTGGTATAAGATTTGTGCCAATGATATTACAGTGGTAACAATAATGGATTTTTAATCCTATTTTAATCAGATAACATCAGTTAGTCAGAATTTGTACTTAAATTTTATCTTCTGACTGGTATCTTGTAAACCAATACTACATTGGCTAACTTCTGAGACATCAAACCTCACCATAAGGTATCAAATATCACTGGTCAGAATGCCATTTAGGAACTGCAGGGGATTATCTTGTTCTTATTTTTTAATAAGAATAAGAAAGAAATTGCAATAGCACTGCTGCAGAAAATCTTTTTCTGAGCCCGTTTAATCTACTTTCCTGCTCAGTGCTGTAACTTCCCTGGTCACCTGTTCTCTTAGGGTGTTTTTCATCCTTTTAATGACTGAAGTGATAGTGATAGCAAACATGACAGACACTGGCTAAACAAATCCTTTAAACTAACATTTTTCTTCATTTTATCAAATATCTAGTTCTCTCAATATACAATATGCGAAGCTCCTTTGATCACACTATTGATTTTCCTTGGGGTCC